TGTGTGTGTTCATTCGTTTGTGAGTATAGGTGTACACTTCCCATGACCTCATGGCATGAGTGTGGACAATCTCAGTGTTGGTGGTCCTCACCTTCCACCTTATTGGAGACTGGTCTTTCGTTTTATGCTGTCTACAAGAGGGTAGATGTCCTGTAGGCTTCCAGAATTTTGTTTCTCTGCCTCTCGTTTCACCACCGGACCATTGGGATTGCCGATGTGGGAGGCCATATCCAGCTTTATGTGAATTCCGGGGATCCCGCTCAGGTCCTCATGCGTGTGTGGCGAGTGCTTTACCCGTGAGCTGTCTCCCACCCCGGTGCACTTTTCTCTTCGTATTTCTTGTTCACTGGAGCACGCTTCCTAAGGGTGCTGAGCCCACTCTGCTCATGGCTTCATGGTGTTGTTTACATACAACACGGCCTTCTCTGGCTCCTGTCTTCAGAAGAGTAAGCCCCAGCCCTGACCCCAAGGGTCCCTCATCCGTCGTTACTGCCCCCCACCAGGGCAGGAGCTCTGGTGTCCGATTTGGCATGCCCAGTTTGTGACAGGGAATCGTCTCTGTGCCTAATATAACATAGCAGTTGTTAATTGGCTTTCATTCCCCAGGGATCAGAGTCGTAACTTACCCTTGCCACGCCAGGCCTGGGTTCTTCTCTGATTCATAGTTATTCATTCCCACCCCCTCTCCACTCCCCTCCCTCCCACCCCAAATTCTCATGTAGCCCAGGCTAGCTTGTAACTTACTTTGTAGCCAAGGCTGGTTATGAACTTATGGACCCCGTCTCCATCTCTCTCCAAGTGCTAGGATTACATGCACCTGGTTGTTTTATGCGCTCTGGGGATGGAGATATGGGGGTGAGAGTACATGGCAGGCAAGTACTCTATCAACCAAGCCATATCTCTAGCCTGCCCTTCAGTCTTTTACAGGGTCTTAGGTAGCAGTTGGTCTTGAACTCAGTATGTAGTCAAGACTTTACTCCTGATTTTCAGTTTTCACCTCCTGAGTTCTAGGATTGCAGGCGTAGATGTTTGCATTCTTGGGCAACAGTTTTAAATGCTGGGTTTAGTACAGGTCTCTTCTAGGATGTGGAGGAACTCGTGCACCATGGTAGAAGGAGACTAGAGTAGTTGATGATTTCTGTGCTCAGCAGGCAGGGTGTGCGGAAAGACCTCTGCCCTTTGTCTGTTGAGAGGAAGACTTTTCAATGTTAGGGGTGAAGCGATGGCCCTGCATCTTTGCCTTTCAACCTTTTGTGGAGGTGAGGAATTAGAACGGGAAGTGAAGTCAGAAGAAAGATGAAACCCTGACCGTGGCTTCTTTCTATAATCCCTGAACTATGGTGGCTGAGATAGGAGCCTTGCTGTGAGTTTAAGGCCAGCCTGGGGTAAAGTAAGACCCCTGTGTTAGGCAATTCAGAAGGAAGGAGTAGAGGGTAGTAATACTTAACTGTGGCTGGGCCCCAAGTGCGTTTAGTCACTGCTTGGCTGCCTTTTATAGCCATGCAGGAGTGACTCAGCCTGGAGAAAGAGAGTCACTTAAAATAAAGGAGCCACTCCAGCGGGGCACAGCTTGTTCATGTGCAGCCAGCTGGCTGGAGCCTTGGGGGGCACCTGAGCCTCTAGGGGGGTCTGGAAGGGGCATGGCACTCAGGTTAGGGTGATCTTACAATCACCAGATGGGGTTCAGGATGGCCACATATGACCCTGAACTTTCAAATAGTATATTGATATTGTTGCTGTGCGTGTGTGTGCGTGTGTGTGTGTGTGTGTGTGTGTGTGTGTGTGTGTGTGTGACAGAGACAGAGAGACAGAGAGACAGAGAGACAGAGAGCGAGCACATTTGTATGTGTGTGCCCTGTTGGCCACTCAGACTTCTCCTACTTTCATTTTATTGGCAGACCTAGAAGGCTGCTGTGACTGACAGGTTTCACACCTCCCACCCCACCCCCACCCAAAGCCAGGGTTTCTCTGTGTAGCCCTGGCTGTCCTAGAACTCACTGTAGACCAGGCTGGGCTCGAACTCAGAGGTCCGCCGCCGCCTCTGCTGGGATTCAGGGTGTGTGCCCACCACTTTCGCTTTTGTGTCAGCCCTCCTCTGTGTCCCAAGCCTCCACGCTCTGTTGAGAAAACACACCAGCTGGCTTTTTTGTTCCACGCTGAACACATTTAGTCCACTGCACTGGAAACCCATGGCCGTCCTCGATGTCCTAGACTGTGGCTTTTCGGGGGGAAGTTAGGCGAGCAGTGTCTTCCCAGACATGGGCCTCTCAGCAAGGACTCTAAGCTAGTCAGACGCTAGGGACGTGAGCAGCCCTGCCACAGGCATGAGTCCATTGTGGGGATTGGGGACCTGTCTGTACCACTCTAGTCTG